ACGAATTCCGTGGCATTCCGCGCTATAGAGTAAATTACGTTTTTATGAATGGACTCCACGATCCCGTCCGTGTTTTCGCAGAAACCATATGGCCCTAGAAATGTAACCACACTTCACAACATTTCGGCTTGCCCTGTGTGATTGAACGAGTTGCAGGGGTGACATCATGTCACAGGGTCTCTCTTTCTCTCTCTGTAGCGTATGCGCCCATATGCGTTCTCAGGTACCGAAATTTGGCACCGATTGATTTAACGTGAATCGGTACTCTGTAGTACCGACGCAATTCGGTCGGTACCCTTAAAAGTACCGAGTTCGGTTCCCAACCCTAGTATTGACAGGAAACTCTAAAAATACACCGAAATATTGATCAGCTTGTTGATGTTTCATGTTTGGCCGGAGCTGATGGCTGTATTCAAAATGTAATACATTAGGGAAAGAGCATAGTGCTCTCCCTACCTCTACTATCATCTTGCTCGGGACTGCTATTAAATATTAATGTGATCTTGTTTTATGTCTAATTCAGGTGGACAATAGCCCTGTAACTCACCCCGGCTACTTAATTAGAGATAAAAATGGCACAGTGGGTGGCACAGGGCACCCGTGTGGAGCGTGTCTGATTTCTGAGGGCTTGTGAGTGTGTAAATGTGTGCATCTCTGAGTGAAAAGAAGGAATAATGGGCAATAGGAATGGGAATTGACGAGCATTAACAGCGCAGTAACAATTCCCGGTTTAAATTGGACATAATGAAACTAATCACTAACAGATCAATGAGTAAGTCAACAATCGCTCTGGGCTGCTTTTCCCAAAAGCATCATCAGCCTTAGTAGACACTGTCACCAATGGTCTCTAAAATCTTACTCAGGCTTCTGAAACCTTTGGATGATGCAGTTCTGACTGATTCAGTGAGTCATTATTAGACCGATTCAAATCAATAATCCGAGAGGTCAAATGCCCATTCACTTCACACTGATAAAATCTAACTATGAAATTGTAATAGCTGTTCTAATTCTATGAGAATAGGAAAGTCCACACAATAAATATAACGATAACAACACAGAGGAACAATATCGTTATTAGGATCCAGAGTTTGAAGAGCTTGCACTATTAAAGAGGCAGACGACAAAACTGCATCGCTCATTTAAGATAAACAGAACATTGTTGTCTGTTGGTTGAAACACTAATATAGCTATCCTTACAGTTATCGTTCTTGGTTTGCATGGGCCTTAAATCGTTTTCACTGATTCGTTTAAAAGAAAATAACCTTCTCACAAGAGTAATCGATTGGTGGTTTTGACTACACTGGTTGTGTTGTATGTTGATGTAACAATAAAGTAACCAAACATCATCATGCAAATCTTTCTACTCCAGTTTCTTTTGTAAATTGAACCTGTTATGAAAAACAGCCAGTTCAAACCAAAGATGATAGCTATATTAGCGCCTACACCAATGCACAATGGCATTGTTTATTATAAGCACTCTACAATTTTGTCATCTGCTGCTTTAAATGCTGGAACTCCTTAAAGTCGGATGGATTCTGATTGGCTGTCAGTTATCATCCTCGTTATAATTGTCCCCCTTGGTGAAAATGGGTCTTAAAGGGATAGTTCACTCAAAAATGAAAATTGTTTGCCATATGTGACCCTGCATCACAAAACTAGTCATAAGTAGAACAGGTATATTTGTAGCAATAGCCAACAATACATTGTATGGGTCAAAATTATCAATTTTTCTTTTATGCCAAAAATCATTAGGATATTAAGTAAAGATCATGTTCCATGAAGATATTTTGTAAATTTTCTACTGTAAATATATCAAAACTTAATTTTTGATTAGTAATATGCATTGCTAAGGACTTTATTTGGACAACTTTAAAGGCGATTTTCTCAATATTTTACTTT